TGCGAATGTGATTCACAGGGAAGCACAAGCCAGCGGGCACAAGTGGAAACTGTGTGGAAGTGTACTTAAAACCAAGAACAGGAGGCATTTCTTTACCCATGGAGTTGTGGGAAAAAAATCTATTTAAAAAAAAATACTGAACAACCTCTTGTTTGTAATAAAGTTTTTTTTTTTGTTTGTTCTTATATTCTAGGAGATAGTCATCATTATGGTTATTCCTCAAACATGAAGTTGCAACTTAGTGTGGAGACAGACACAGCAAAAATGCCGTATCGTAAGAACACAGGAACAGTCACAAATGAGAGCAGGCCATATTTCCAAAACAATCAATGAGAATCCAGGAGCAAAATGCTACTAGTTATCACATACTCATAATGGGAATAATGGCCCTAAACCATTACCAAACCTGAATAAAGGTGGACTTTTTAAAAAAAAAGTCATCAGCTGTGTGGATGTGAGCTTCTCCATCTGCCCTACTAACACCTCTCTGGGATGAAAATTATGTAGTCACATAAAGCTTCGCCTCAAACTAAGGAGCAATGGTACCCTGCCATCCTGTCTGCGCTCCAGCACTATTACAGGACTGGTACAGTAATCCATATCTCACTTTCTGAACGCGTTGAGGAATGAAATGAACACACCGACAACAAAGAACAGCATAATAACTGAAATATAAGAACAATTTGAAGAGCACTCTTACATGGAACGTGGCACTGCACCGGACCAACCCCTTCCTACTGAAACCTCCCAACATCTTGGCAGAACCCTGCGCTGACCCCTACATTCTCATGTTTCTCTCCATTGTGAAGAGGTGAAGAAACAGACCTGTAAACCATTTTCTGTGCAGAAGCAGATGAGGAACAGCAATTGCAAAAAGGGTAAAAAGTAAGTCACAATACTAAAAAAAAACAATTCCTTGTGGTGGTGAACAGACAGCCTCCTGCGAATACCTCCCTGACATTCCTGGAAGAACACCTGCACTGCAAGGGAATGAAACTGGAAACCTCTTCTGGGCATAGTGACCTTTCAGCAGGTGTACTGGAGGTATGTAGTAACAACTATGCATTGCGAAATGTTGCAAGTCTTGCTTTCCCATCTGCCTACATTAGAAAATAAAATTTGTTTGCAAGATTACATGGTTTCAAACTGTCCAATTTCTCTGCAGTCGTTCAACACCCCCAGTTACATATTAGCCATCTGTATGAGGCCCTGTGTGGTGTGCAGGACCAAACAACTACACAGATGTGCTTATGTGACTGCTCCTCTCTGTGAGTGGTGTTCTATCACATATGAATTATTTGGATTTCAAGGCTGCTTAATGCAGAGATCCAAATATCCAGCTATCCTGTGTGAAGTGGACAGACAACACCATCAAGCTTTCTTCAGATACTCCTGAGGGAGCCTGAGAAGCTAACGCTAATGCTGACAATCATGATAAATGCTGACAAATTCCATGACCTAAAAGAAATACTGAGATAGAACAATGCTATCCTGCTCAGTGTAAGATTGCTCTTTTAATCACTTTTCCCTCTGCCTCTGTACTCCCATAACTACAGGGAGGGAACTCTAGTCGATCTTCCACAGGTGGATCAGTGTGAACATTGATCACCCATTTAAGGCCTAATCTCCGGAGTGTCTGGAAAAAAACCCATTCAAACACAGGGATAACATGCTATGTCTACAGAGAAAGGACCCCCAAGGTTGGAATCAACCACAGGAGAAGGAATTGTAAGACCCCAGTGGTCACCCACAATCCAACAAACCCCCCCTTCTGTTCTTAAGAAGACACATTACACACTTGCTGCCAACACCCGGAAGACCTCAGTCTAGCTCCTCCCAAACAGCGAGTGTGAAAAACAGAAAAAAACAATCACGAAAATTAAACCAATCACAACAAAAGTCTTTTTTTCCCCCTCATGGTACCGAGTTGCATTTTTGAGAATTTTCCAGACATCAAGCAGGGGAAGAGTGCATGACTAGCTTTTCATGGAATGAGCTTTGCGATGGCTCGGTGGAGAATCACACTCCAAAAGATAATAATTACAAGGGGTGTCAACAGACCTGGAGCACTTTATAAAACCCCAGACAAGTTCTAACACCTGTGCTCATTAAGCTTAGTTTTCAGCCAGTATTTAATTATGTTTCATAAATAGTTGGTCAATGCTTTCAGTTGTTTTAAGACAAGCTCATGAAATATGTTTTGACATGGCTTTATGTGAGTTAAGATGTGAAGTTTAGGCATTTTGTTTGCATTTTGCATTACGTACTTGAAAAGCTACAGAATACAGTTCTACTTCTTTTTGCGTGTTTCTTGCTCTCCTTACCTTTGAATTTGCCATGTTACCCTTTCTACAAAACTCTGCTTTTTGAGGCACAGTTATTCTTTATGAATTATGTTTTGCCCTTCAGTTGGTATTAATGGAATTATAACCAAAATTCTAATAGAAATTTAGGAGGAAGGATTCTAATCTCCCACACTCCTGTTTGCCTGCATACATAAGACTCGTACCTGGGACTTCCTGTTGTGGATCTCACTCGTACCTCTTCCTCCACCACACCTACACTCCTGCAGCACCTCCTTGGCTCAACCCTCGCAATACGGATCTGGGCCGCCTCACTCCTTTGGCCCTCAGCCAGGCCATCTACACACTCTAAATACTGTAATGCATGGTTGCGATTTTCCTTTCTTATGAACTTGAACTGATTGATCAGACAATAAGCAGCAGCAGTGTTAAGGAGTTTCTGGTTAGGTCTCAAGACTTGGAACTGGATGGTTGAGGCTTCAGATCCTGGTACTGCTATTGTACCCTTGAGATTGTTGTAAAAATGGGTAAGAATGCAAGTCACGTCACATACAAACAGCAGCCAAACAAATTAATGATGAGAAGACCGAACTAATAACCTCGGGATCCTGTGATGAGGGAAAACAAAAAAATTCCACACATTATTCATCTATCTGTTCAATTCAAAATACTTTATTAATCACGGCGGGGCAATTTAAGAATTTAAGTCTAAAAGAGCTAAGAAATGTTATTTCCTTAAATTTTCAAAGGAAATAATCTTATTATATACTGTAGCTACTTTTTTTGGGACTCAAAAAAGTAATGGTTTCAGTGGTTGTAGAAACATGAAGCCGCAGAAACCTCTGACAAACCACAATCACACCACCAGCAAGCATGTCAAGCATGAACACGCACGCTGTAACAGCATCAATAGCACAGTACAGTTGTCAGGAGCAAAACTGCTCTGGGCTAAATGGCACAGAAAAGTAAAAGCTGTGTCAATACCCATCTAGTCTAGTCATTTCTTCACTTATTTATTTCTGACAGGTCAGGGAAGAAGATCTCATGAAATCAAGGTTCTCTGTGTCCCCTGCCAAAGTAAATACACAGCACTGTGTCTGTCTGCACTTTACTTGTTATTGTCCTTGAATATCTACAACAAAGACATCCTAAAGCACTTTACCGCAAAAAAAACACAATTCTAGATACTTTTCGTTTCTATTTATCTGACACCTTTGATGTACAAAAGGATTACAGTACCATAAAACAGTGAGACAGTAACACAATGTCGTTTGAATGACAAGCAAAACAGAAAAGGCTAAAGTCAAAACATAAAAACTAAAAACAAAATTACTTTACAATTGTTTCCCAATTTAGTCTCTGGGAAGAGCAGTCTGGAATTTTTTACTGTGTTCCACAAAAGACTTTATCCTAATTAAGTCCTTAACTATAAAAAGTCTTTTGGTTTTGTTCATTTTTCTTCTTTTTATTTTTGTTGGAAATCATTGCAATGGAGGAATTAATTCACTTGGGAAAACTATACTTAATGTAAATAAGCAGCTTAAACCCTGAGGTTCAACTCACAAGCTAAGAGTTATTAGTTTTCCTAAATCATAAATGCTGTCTGGATTTTTAAAAAACCTCGATTCGCGTTCATGCGGTTATCGAAGGGAGAGTCATCTACTCCTTTATACCATCTTTGCAACATGCAGTTAGCTTTCTTTTTCCCCCAAAATGTGTTTTTAATCTTCCCAAACATTATAGATCAAATGCAAAACATAAATGATATTTTGCTATGCCCCATGCACGTTTTTACACCACAAGGCCCCTACGGAACAGAAAGAAGTGGACAGGAAGAACAGAAAATGCACTTGTCTTGTGATTGTTTTAATTTTAAGTTATCTAGAAATCCCAAACCACAGCCACTCTCCCAGGACACTTACTGAAAATTAAGCAGAGGTGATGCCATTATGCAATTTCAAAAAGATTTTTTGCATGATTTTCTCATTTCCAGTCTGCCAAAACCAGACCTAGGGGGACCCTGTCAACACTGCATGGTCAGTAATGAAGACAGAAATGGGGCCAGAGAGGGGTGCACCGAGTGTTAGCAGTGACAAGAGAGGGTACGCCATTTGCAGACAGCCAGCTTGGCACTGTGGTAAACAGGCCCTGCTTGCAGCCAGCTCCTCCAGACTCCTCCATCTTCCCACGTCAGCTGCGGGCAGGAGTTGTGTCAGAAAGGAATGCTGGCAGTCCCCTCAGCACAGGGACTCCCAAAGGAGCCAACCGAGAAGCTGTTTCACATCAAACACTCTGGATCTGTTCCGTCATAACACTGAAGACAGACCCCGTGGTCCACTGGGTGATTATTTGTCTGGTAATAGCCTGTGAAAACCATCCAACATAAAGGATGTTTTGAACTTTGCTTTAAAAGACCAGGCACAAGAGGAATATACATTCAGAATTTGCACTGTAATGCAGCCCTACTATTTCCCATTTTAAGGCCTACTTTATTCCTTAATTTAAAAATATTTATTTTTAGTAAAAGCTTGGAATTACCGAGAGCGGTTCTGAACTGCAGGGGAGTGTATTGAGAGCCCCATCACTGCTGTCTTTGTGCTTGGCATACTGTTGCACCAGTGTGTTTCATCGTGAAGTTAAAGCTGCTCGTGTGAATTCGGCAGGACTCTCTATGTTCAACTGCACCATGACTCTTACCGGTACGTCTATCTCGATGAGGGCGATGTCGGCTTTCTCATCCACATCTTTGATCTTCGCGTCATAGGTGGCGCCACTCTTTAGCTCAACCTTCACCCGGTGCTTGTTGGCTACCACATGAGCGTTGGTGACAATCAGCCCGTCTTCTGACACCACGAAGCCTGAGCCGCTGGCCACTGCCACCTCCCGTTTTGAGAAGACCATCCTAGCGGTCAGTGAGGGGGGTGGGGTTTACACAGAAAAAAAATAGAAAGAGTTTTTAGGACAGGGGAACCAAGCAGCGTTTGTAACAGGAAGGGACTGATAATAGAAAAAAATCCTTGTTTCGTAGTATACCCAGTTCCCATCTCACAGATATAACCATGTCCAGTTCTGTTCCCGATTCACACTTTCACAGACACAATGACAAGAGCGTACACTGGAATGGAGAGCAAGATGTTTACCACAAATGCTGTTTGAGAGCGATATAGCTGGGAATTTGTTCTTGTTCAGAGAAATGTATCTACTTTCCTCATTGCTAAAGTAACCCACCTGCAGTCCTCTCAACAAATATCTTACATTGTCTCTTATTGCGCTCAGTGGATAGCAGCAGGAGGATGTTTGGCATGGAATAAAAAGCTCTCAGCTCTCTCGATTTGCTATACTCCTCCCCAATGAATACACCTTATACCTCACAGATTTTAATATCTCACCCAATTCATCTTGGTCAAACTCTAGAATCAGACCTTAACAGTTTCTGTATACACACATTTTCCCTTGGGGCCCAAATGGGACTTCTGCTCCATTGTCAAGTCTCTTCTCTTTGTTCTCATATGTGTAAATACACTGTTTACGCATGTTACAGTCATACACAGCTTTAAGCTGGCTAATAAAGATGCCACAAGAAGTAAAAGTACTTACATAGCGTGCATAACTGAGTCATTAAAAGAATGTTCGGGTTTGCATCCACATAGAGAAGAAAACAAAACCTGACTAAGGAAAATATACAGTACAGAGGCACTATACTGTGAAGTTTGCTTAAGGACAACATAAACCTTAAAGAGTTCCATTAATTTGATTAAACTTTTTAACGTTAATTAAACAAACAAATACAACAGAAGGTTTAGCAGCTTTGATTAAATTTAATATGAGCGACTTTATTTTTTTACAAAATGAAAAAGTGGAACTATTATGTATGCATAAATTACCATACCATAAGCACTTGCATGCTAAGTCCCCATTAGATGCATTAACACTTTGAATTAATATTTGTTTTAAATTTCTATCTGACACAAATGTATAGGAATTTTATTTTATTTTTTTTGGTATAGTTATTATGCACATTGTCACCCTTTACACCCTAAACCCTTTGTTAAATTTTAGTAATAAAAAAGTAATAACGCAAGAGCAACACCCATCCATCCATCCAGTTTCAGTGCTTATCATGGTGAGAGCCGTGAACTGGACATCTAGAAATGGAAGGAAGAGATGTTTCCTCCACAACAGATTCCAGGTCAAACCGATGATACAGTGTCCTGGGTCACCACTGAGGTCTCCACAAGGTAGGATGTGCCTGGCAGAGCGCCAGAAGACGCTTGTTTAATGTTAATTGAATATTCAAAGATTTTTCAATTTAACAATTAATTAGTTTATGTCATGCAGTCTCACACTAAACATCAGAAGGACTTGCAGAAAAGTAGTGTAGTTGCTAAAAAGAAATATGCTTTGATTTACATCCCGGATTCCTGGCCAAATTTCCCATTGGCCCTTATCAATCATGGCCTCCTCATAATCCCCCTCTATGAATTAGCTTCATTACTCTGCTGTCCTCTCCACTGATAGCTGATGTGTGGTGAGCGTACTGATGCACTATGGCTGCCGTCGCATCATCCAGGTGGATGCTGCACATTGGTGGTGGTGGAGGGGAGTCCCCATTACCTGTAAAGCGCTTTGTTTGGAGTGTCCAGAAAAGTGCTATATAAGTGTAAGCAATTATTAATGATTAATTATTATTACATACAGTATATGATATACCTTCAGGGTCCATATACAAGTTAACTCTTAAGTGCTGTAGGGAGATGAGTGAAGTGATATAGTCAGAAAGAAAAACATACTTGCGATACAGTTCAATATGAACCACAGCAGGAGCAATTTTCTCAACCACATCTGCAATGAAGTTGTATCTGTGCCTTAGGCTGTCTGGGTTCTCCTGGGCTATAAACAAAGAAGGAGAAAAAAAATGAAAAACAGAGATGAGTGCATTACTCATGCTGCTTGTTAAAAGACACTAACATATAAAAGACTATTCAGGAGAAATATCCATACAGCTCTGTCTGGCTTTGCTCAAACATGCTGATTCTGCTTCACATTTTGTTCATATGAGCCTATTGAACATCAATAAAAATGTAAAGGCAAAAATTAGACATGTGCACAAAGCAATACCTGAGACACTTAATTTACTTCCAGTCTTCCTGCCTGTTTTGTTGACAACTATCAAGCAGCTGTATGATACAGTGTTTAAAATGTGAGAGTTAAGTGTTTCATGCAAGCCTCAGTGAAGAATGAGGGAAAGTTGAATTGTATAGTATCTACAGAGAGATGTTCAAGGGAAAGAAGCAAAAAGACAAATATATTTTTCTTTAAAAAGTTTTTTGCTGATTTTATCCATGCAAAATCTGCTCCATTACTCAAAGGTAGTTGCTAGCTTCAATAACACTTATCCTACAATAGCAACAATTAATAATGTGCCTAGACGAGTCCTCTGTGTATCTATAGTATTGTAGTTTCTGGCTGCAGACATGACTGTTTTCTTAAGTACCACAGACAAAGTCTGTCACTTCTGAAATCTTTGCAGCTCAGATCCTCGTTTGCCTGACAGAAATCACAACCCACTGGATTTCAGATTATAAAACGATGAAAATATTTTCACGGTCTCTTAAAACTTGAAAGTGACAAATATTACATAGGAAATAATTATGTCTTATCAACTAAAATGGTACACAATTACACAAATGTTGACAACAAGTACATTTCAGCAAACCAAGCACTTAAATTCTGTCAATTTGAAGAAATGAAAAGCTCAAAATAAGCAGTTATTTTAATCAGATGGAATTGTGACACCTGAAGTGGGTTACAATATTCATAAAATTGGAATGAAACAACACCTGTGTGCAGTTAAACAGTGAGCCTGACTATCATTCTACCCAGAGAAGGGACTGTTCTAAGGAGGATGTTTATCAATTTCAGGGAAACGACACAATCAGATCTTTTATAACCATACATACATAATACTTTATTTTACCTTGCACGACCTTGGTTGTGCAACTGCAGTGTGCAAAACTGCAAATCATGCCTTTTCTCCTTGACTTTTTGTTTTTCAGCCCAGCCTCAGTGGTCAGGGCCCAGGCCAGGATATTTCTTCAATGACACGGGATCCAAATACAGAGCACTGCCCCCCCCCCACCCCACCATTCCCAAAAAATCACCCCCCCGAATTTGCATCTTACGAAACATGTTATGAAAAGGGAACTCAGGAAGTCACATGCTCTGTGTTGGATGAAGTCCATGTTTTGACTTTTATCTCTTAGCCCAGCTGAAATGAGCCCCAGATGGATAAACCAAGAGTAAGGCCTCATTTTATTCAAGGCAGAGGACTATAGAAAATGTGACAGTAAAGCTGGAAATTCTCTTCCTAACACATGTAACCAGTGCCAAAATAAGCCCATCTTAGCAGTACTGACTTAAATTGATTGGACATAAAATAACTGTCACTTTCCTTATATAAGCATGTAATGCTCATTCCGTATAAAAGTGCAAATTGCAGTTCTCCTAAGTAACATCCAGACCATAGACTTTAGGGGAGTAGATTACAAATGAGTCAACATTTTCCATGATAGCAAACCCCAACAAACTTTTTCCCTATCAATATGTAATTCCTGTGTGTTATTTAAATTAAATAATATTACAAGGGGTGATTTGTGGGTAATTAAGAATGAACACGCAGAGTCTGCTCTATATTAAGCTGGTGGCTGGAGGTTATTTGCACTGCAGGTCCATGGCAGTCTCCGAGTGGGTAAGACATGCACAGAAATTCCAGCTTCTCTCAAATCAAACTTCCCAGAAACCTGGAAGCAAGACTTTAAAGATCTCTGCTGCACCCAGGAATGGGAACTGCATTTGGCCTTTCACTCTGAAGGAGGCCAGCCTCTTGCTCATCTGCTCCAGAGCCACAGTCCCAAAAAAATTAGACAGCAAAATGATTGCTTCTTTTTCCTATTCATTTAAAGAAATGAAACAACGACATGACTCCTCACCACTGTGTCCTTGAATTCCTGTCATCAGATGATATATCTGGCTTATACAAAATTAAACTGAACTGGTTGGATTACAAAATAAATATGAACATTCATTTTTTCGTGGCATTTATTAGCATTGTGTCAAATAAAAAAACAGACCTACTGTGCAATGATCATTTTACAACAGGTATTTGAGCCAACTTTCCACCACACTCCAAACAAATTGCTTTTAACTACCATCCTCTCAAGAGACAATATAACCTAATTTTTGCGGGGGGCATTCTCCCCACCCCATAAAACAAATATTTAAGGACACATTCAGCTTTTATTTTTTAATTAAGTTAGGCACATGAATCTAATCTAATCAGTTTAGATGTTTAGAGTCTAATGTACCATTTCATAATCTATGCCATGAAATTCCACTACAATATTAATAAATTAAAGATGCTACTTCCAGAGTTACTCATCTCTATGTATAATGGACCATGAAGGTATTATTTAAAGTACTTATTGTCCACAAAGCCATGTACATTTATAAAGTCAAAAAATCTAAGATTTTATATTATAGGTTATAGGTTAGGTTATGAGATGTTATACATCTCATAACATCCTCTTACAAAATGACTTAAAATACAAAAAGGTTTGGGTGTTCTTACTTTAATGTAACCCAGACTTCAAGCAATTTGTTCAATGTTCATTTTAAAACCATTGCAAGACCAAGCAAATAAAAGATTATATCTATTTCTCATTGGGTGAAAAAGATACCCCTCCTGCATGTATGAGCAAGCATTATCACAATAATATAAGCTATATTTATGTAACATATGTGTTTTATATTTCTCATATTATAGTTATAACACAGCTATGATAATACTGGTGGTAGGGCACAACATAATGATAGGCTGGAAGGATTTAGTCAACCTCAAGACAAAACATAATAAAAATATCTCTTCTACAGACCTGCCTTGAAAAAATACAGTTCGGAAAACAAACAAAAAAATGTTATTAAAAAAGAAATTGGTTCTTTTTTATAGATCCTTTTTACTTTGCAAAATAAGACCTGACATTTAATTAAACAAGTGAATGCTTTTTTCAATTATCAAGATTTTTCTGTGTATATGATACATAGCCTTTTTTGTTTCTTTGCATATATGTTTCAGACATGCATTGAAACAATGAAAAGCAACCGAAGGAAGGATATACAGACCGATAAATTATCCCACATAAAAACATTTTTAAGCCAGGACTGGCTCCAGATAGACGTGTTTAGGCTCTGAGCAACAGAAAGGTGTCAGAGAGAGGGGGAACCCCCTCTCAGCACAGAAGGGAAAGTTACACAAGGGAAAGAGAAACAAGGAATACATTCAGAAACTGACAGGAAGCCAATCACTTTTCAATACATTTATATGCTGTCCTTTCGCACATCTCCTCATGCTCCCTGAGGTTCTATACTGCTCCAGGTGCAAAAACTTGAGCTTGCCAGCTCTCTCTGAGACCATTTCTTAAGCTTCTCGATCTAGTTTCTACATGCAAGAGAGCCACATTCATTTTAACAGTCTTATTTCTTTAGGTTAGCCATTGGTGAGTAGTAGTGAAGTGGTGATGCAAAATAAACTTTTACATTTCACAGACCATAACTTACTTTCCTGCGTGTGAAGTCTGACCCATCTATTCTTACCATTCTAAAAGTCTCCGAGAGCTCTTTCCTCATTACCTATCAGTTACTGCGCCTTGATAAATGCTTGGCTTGCTTCCTGACCTTATCACATTCCTCTAAGAGCTCCTTCTCATATGTACTGTACAACTTCCCAGTGATGAAAGCCATCATCAGGCCACACATTATTAGGTAACTTTGTTCTCTTCATTTTATACAGAAGAAACCGATTGCAATGACTTCCAATATTAAATATGGAAATAAAAGTCATCTAGAAAAATTTGCATTAAATGTGAAACAAAACCTAACTTAAGACTTAGAATAAAATACAGAAACTTGTCCTGAGTACTTGCAAGAAGGGTCGCTAATTACACTCTGCATGGGTGTACAGCACCCCCCTCACTGGATGTATCTGATCCTCTCTTCATATCCACTAGTATCAATTCTTACTGCAGTGCATTTAAAATGAGCCATCATAAATCTGAAGGATACTTTAGTTGTATATAGAATGAAACCATATACTGAATCATATTTCATGTATATCATGTCTGAATATTTTTATCTAAAGACAGCTCACTTTTGCTCAACTATATGTGCGGGATCATACTGTGAAGTCCTCTTTTCATTCATGTACGGAGATGATACCAAAAAATCCCTTTCTTGTGTTTATGAATGACAGCACCTCATTCCTACAACTTCCTCCAGTCAACATTGCCTACATCTACCAAAGAGTAAGAGAAACAGTTTTCATGCTTCACTGGCATTCCAATATGCAAACTAAAAGTAACTTTATCAGTGAAAGTCTGATCCAGTAAGGGTTGTTTGTTTTGAGCTAATCACTGATTAAAATCTGTTTACACCTCCATTTCCTTTTTTTCTCCTTCAGTTGTCATTCACAACTAGTCAGCAGGAGTAATGTAGTTTGTATCTGAGCCTGCTGGAGGTGTATTATAAAAAATAGTCTTTCCTGTGCTACCGAAAAAGGAAAGAAATAACAATGCCATGCTAAAAAACTACTACTGGCCCTTGCTCTACGGGCCAGCCAGGTGTGACGTATTGAATAGCCCATGTTTCCAGGTCTGCAGAGTTCCTGAACTCCCTCTCCCTGTCCTGCAGTCCTCATCCCTCAAACCCTAACCCCTTACCCCTCCCTGCCTGCGTGCTCACTCTGTTCCCTCTGACACTCTCAAATAACCGGCTCCCAGCAGCAGACACTTTCTCTGTTTTCACCGTGATTCCCAGAATACTGTTGACACCGGTATTTTATGAGTTTTTCCATTCGGAAGCTGCCCCTTCCTCCCAGTGTGAAGGCTGGGAGAGATTAGGTTGCAGGCTGCATTTCTTCCCGGAGCTGTCTCAGCAGCCGAGCAGGCAGCAGCGGACTGTCGGGGCCGAACTGTGTGTGTTGGCTGGCTCACCGGAACAGCACACACACACCCACACACTAAACAAACGATTATTGAGCTCAAAGTGCTTTCAGCTTTTCTTTGCAGCACGCACTAATTTAGGTATTGGATAAATTAAAGGAATGGTTTGCTTTTAAGCAGGCTATTTCAACTGGCTGCAGTGCTAGAAAAGGGGTACTAATAATTCATGTCTGAATCCCTCCATAGTCTTGCAGCCAGCAGTGCTATGACTGAGGAATAACCTACAGTTTGAAACGATGCTAACATACCACAGTATATCCAACCAGCAAAATGTATTCTTCATTATAATTTGACTGTGAATAGCTGTGTGAGATTGAAACAGCTTGTCCATTAATAACAGCATTAAATGTCCACATCATGTACAGTATAGAAGACCTAATGATCTTTGATCATTTTGATCATACCCACCTGAACTAGGAAATCTAATGACAACTTATGGAATTGTTGAAGGAATCCACAGGAAACAGAACCTACGGAATATGGTGAATACATACAGAAATAAAAACTGCATAAAGACAGCAGAAACAAGTCTACAAAGGCAGCATATACTGTACTATCATTCACTCCTGTCCTTCACAATTACTTTGTAATTCTGCACACTAACTTCAGAAGCTTGAATTGATGTGCCGTAACTAGAGGTTACAATGTTGGGTTAAAGGGTTACAATGTCATTCTCCAAAGGCTTCAGAATCTGACCCAGATCTGACGCCATTTCAATGTTATATAACGACTGGTTGGAAACCAGATAAAAATGGCATAATGCAATATGAAAACTCATGTAGAAGTCATGGCTTTGGACTGAGACCTGCCAGAATGACTGTTTGGCATGGACTCTGGAAATATTAAGCAACTTAATATTACGCAGTACAGCTTACTGAAAATAACGTATTTTTAAGAGAGGCTGAAGCTGAGAAAACAGGAAGAAAATTCAAAGGAAAAAAGGGATAATCTACAGATTCCCTAACTAATTACTTTAAATATATCAGTGTGGTTTCTAACAGGGCAGGGGCCTTTGCTCTGTTATCTGCAAAAATTTCATGAATATATAAAAAACAGCCTGGCTGAGGCCATGTTTCTGTTTCACCTTTATTCTCAAACCAGACTCTTGGAAATCCCTGCTTTATTTCAGCTGAACTTGATATTAAACTGCTGACAGCAGTGGATTTCAGGTTGATTTTGGGAGATGTTCCCTGCAAATAAACTACAGCCAAGCAGCACTATATTATACCCAACTCAAAAGAGTGTTATAAGTACTTCAGGAAAACTGGCTCTTCGAAGCAAAAAGGTGCACTACTGCCTGGCCCATGTAAGTACAGTAAGACCACTTTCTGCAAAATGAGAACTCCAACTGTTTTATTAGTGCAATACTAAGGTATTGAATTATGACTTAAACTACTGCATTGCTTGTAAAGAATGTAAAGCTGGCAGTTTTTACTAGATGGATCTGTAATGCGTGTCTAAGGAAAAAACAAGAACAATGACTCACACCAAGAGGACAGCAAGAGATGTTCACATATGCAACTTGTTTGGACAAGAGAGTATCTTTGTCAAGGAATTTGCATCCAGTGTATCCAAACCCCTTCCATTTAGATTTGTACCAAACTGTCAACATAATTTCATTCTCCAGTTTAGCCTGTTGTAATAATCAAGTGTGTAGAGCTTTTACTACAAGACTTAAAGTGTTTAAAATGTTCATGATTGTTTCTTACAAACAGTACAGTACAGTATAAACATGATATAGTATGTTGCAGCAACTGTCATACAGTTTAAATGGGACTACTTTGTGTATATGCATTTACGAATATGTATTGGAAGTATAAAGCTTTAAAGAACATCTGTTTGTGACTATGGTTTTGTTACCCAAAAAGTTCAAGCTTCAAACCGCTGTGGCTGAACAGATATCTCTTCCTTCACTAACCCTCATGAAGGCTACTGTGATGAGATGGGATTTACTTTAGGACAGAGGATTCTAATCACTGGAGAAGAAGATTAAGGGACTGGGATGTTTATGTCTGCAGCACAGTAAAAAGAAAACATTTGGGTGGTAGAGAAAACAGCTACCCTATTAACAAGTAGGGCATGCAATTCTCTATTATATATTTACATTATATTACAGGACTCACTGACTAGCTATAATATGGCAGTTGTCAGAGACTTCAGCAGGCACTGGACATTTTTATCTTATTTTGAAAAGACATCAATTTTAACATTAATTGTATGGAACAAGAATAAAAAAGGTTACTTCTAGATAATGGAACTCAAAAGATCACCTAGTAATTAAAAGAAAACGAAATCTACATCTATAATATCTCAATGATGCCTATAAATGGCATATGATACCTATTAAAGACATTTTTAAATCATTACAGGCTAAACTGTTTGCACGACCTGGGTATTAGTTTGCTTTGGAAACATTTCATTGACATAACACACTGTTTTAAAATCTGCCCAGACAGTACAAATAAGTACAAGAGAACATGTTTTGCAAATTTTATATATTTGGCAAACCATTACAGTGAAGTACAAAATGCACTTCAAAGATATGCTGATGGCATCCTTTCAGATTTACATGATTTTCTCAAGAAAAGCCCTCTCGTTTCCTTGATGACTTTCCATTAGGCTGATTCAGCTTTCTCCCAGCAGTTTTAGGAAAATAAAGATTTGCTGGGATACTGGTTGGAGCATGGATTGTTATCTTAAAACAGGGCACTGCAACACTGTTCCTTGACAGCAAACCAGCCTTCCCGTTTTAATTTCAGCTCATCTCTGAGTGTCATAATTAGACCACTTCTTAATGAATCTGTTTTCTAGGTCAGTACTCATCTGCCATTTTAATCTCTCTATAAAGATCTTCCTTACTGTGGCTTTCTATTGTCATTGTTGAAGAACCCTGTCCTACACAGAAAGATCCCAAGCTCAAACTCAATTGCATGTTTTTTTTTTCCTTTGTAAAACAGACAGTCATGAAACACATTCTTAATTAACAGTTCAGAGTGGTACATGAGTATGAGATTTATTTAGCATTAGGTTTGAGAACACGCTGCATGCACTAGAGTTTCTATTGCCACAAGTTTTTAATTTGTTTCTTCGACAACAGCTGGCTCAGCACGTGAGGCCACTTACGGTTGTCCAACAGAATGTAGGGCAAAGCAAAAAAAAAGGTTTTCTGGCGTCGTCTAGCGTGGAGATTGGCAGTGATTAGCATCAAATTCATGCCAAGAGTTTCACAGAAACAACAAGAGCAAGTCCTTCAGTCCCAACTTGGAACTCATTTTCCAATGCTAAACGAATTGAATAACGAATTAAAGAAGGGTATACTAATCTCCTCCTGTAGTATATCACAAAACAGTTGTCTCTGAGTTGTCTTCAGTTATACAGCCTGTACAAGATGCCTAATGTACAGAGCTGGATACATTAATATAACACGTAACATGTAAAACGTGTTATCGGCACTCCTCACAAAGGCACAAATTGTATACTTTCCTTTTCGATAGAAAAACAACATAACACAAAAATGCACTCCCTATTAATTAGAAGGAAAAAAAGGCTTATATAAGTATACTAGGTAGCAATGTTTAACCTACCGGTACCCTGTCCGCAAGCTCCTCTTTGTATAAAGATGACAGGTGGCTGCTGCAACTTTTGCGCTCCACTGCTGACCCTCTTCAGTTCACAGATGTTCCGGTAGGACACGCCGTCGCTGCCACACACGGGCTCGGAGCTTTTACAGACGCAGGTACCGGTCTTGCCTCTCCGCCTCACGGTAGCGGAGTAAGCAACTCCGTCCGAAACCGAGCACTCCAGCCCTTCAGCGCACACTGGGTCGCCAAGCCTTCCCGAGCCGCCGCAGGGCTCGCCCTCCCCGGCTGCGCAGACCGGGCAGCAGTCGCACTGGTCCAGGACGTCGCCCGCTAAACAGTCAGCGGGGATCTGGGGACACTGAGACTTGTCGCAGCGGTCGGGGCAGCCGATGACATACCGCTTAGAGATCCTGGCTTCGGCTATCAATGGAACTAAAAGGACACCGGCACAGAAAAGTGGCCACAGCATGGTGAACGCTAACAATAACAAATAAATGAAGGAAAATGCTATTTATTTTCCCTAAGCAAAATTAGTTTTTCTTTGCTAATGCTTTAAGAATGGTGCTTTACAAAAAAGTCAATATAATAAAAAGAGGTTAAAAAGCAAAATAAACAATGCAATAACTTATACAAATGATTCAAAGGCTGCTTGGCTATGTGGTTAGCTGTGTTTGCCTGTGCGCACGGTAGGAGGTAACTCTGTTCCTCTTGCCCGCTCAGTGCGCGTCGGTTAATGTTTTCTTTGCTATCAGATTTATAAAAGCTCAGCCATTCCACATGACCTGAGACATTTTAGAGACAGTATAAACAAGCTCAGCGATTGGTGGACGACTTATGACGATATTTTTTTTGGGAAGCGGAGAACTTTTCCAACCTCTAGTGAGCTGAGTTGAACCCTCAGAAGCACTGAAACAAGGCAAGTAAAGCGACGCAAAAATCCCGATCCTGGGATTGAGCGAGGGTGCGCACTAACATTATTCCATCTTCGACTGTCAAGTGACGTGACAGTTTAATCGAAACGAAACTGCAAAACAGTTCGGGTATAAAACGGTACCTGCAAGACTGTGATCAGTTCTGCGCACAGAATTTTTATTCCTATTGTGTCATGCCTGCAGCTGCAAAAATATGTCGCTGCATTGCTATTGCAAGACATCTGCTCCCAAATAACTAATTTGATGTCTGTGCTCGTAAATCAGATATGCCACGCCATTTCCACGATGTCATTCATCTGTAAAATTTTAACACATGGTTTAAATCTACGGTTATTTAGCTACCTGCTACTTAGAGCAAATTAAATAATTGTGTGGTCGTTACTGTATATTTAATTCCATAGCATCAATATCCTAGAAAATGTCGCCCTTAAGTGATCCTAAAAGAGAAATTAACTTCACCTTGTTTTATTAATTGATCTAAATGCTTGGTTGTTTCGCTATACCATAGTATAAAATTATAACTCGACTGGCTTGAGTTAAAGATGCGAACCCATCTAATGTGTTTATTTGGGTAGCTAGCAATGGCGCTTTAGTTTGTCCTGTTAGATATAACCATTTTTTCTATATTTGTTCAAGCATATGCTGCTCTGTCCAAACCAGTATGTAGGTCGCCGAAAAACTCTTAAATATAAAAGTTATATTTGAAAGTAACAGAATTCGATAATATATACCGATGCAATAAAAGAGAGCAAGTGAATTAAAGTATATGGTTGAGGAGCTTCTTCTCCCGTTTAACAAATAAAAGAAACTGGCAGAGTAGATATTTTGTCCTCTGTTTTTAAACTACAACTTTTATCTACTAAATAAAGTATAGGCAGCAAAGAGGGGCGTTTAAACACAACTCATGTGCACGAAATCAATTAAAGACAAAAATAAAACTTCAGTCACGTATTTATCAGCATTATTTTATACAACTCTTTTATAAAAGCAAAAATAAAATCAATGGTAAGAGAGTCAACTCTCTGAATATAGCCCTCAGGTTCCAGGCGACTCCAGGTCGCCTATATTTTAATTTATGATGAGAGTCTATCTCGCAGGATACGCGCATAATCGAACGAGACTGAACCTCATTCGAAGCAGCTGATGGAGAGGGCGGAGAAGAGAATGCCGGGGGAAAAAACTGGAGCGTGATGTTGTACCACTCCATCTATACTGAGTGAGTGATCGCATCAAGTGAAGAATTCCCCGCTTTTCCTTGTCGTCACGTGTATGTCTTGTTATCGACACCGAAACAACATGTTAGAGCGTGTTTTAAAGATCCGTTTACTAATAATCCTCGCTTTAACCTGACACAAATGCTCGTGTAAATAAAGTTTGTAGCCAATGTTTCATTGCATATGAATACCGTGCTAATTACAAACGTTGTAAAAAAACATCAGCAGTCTCAAATGGGAGATGTTCAGATGCACAATAATTAATATTTCCTTGTATTTATGTAGCTGTTTTCATCTCAAAGAATCTTAAGGAGCTTTACATAGAGGAGAGGATCATCTTCATCAACCACCACAGTGCAGCACACACTGGGCAGACAAGTGGTATCAGAACAGGCTGAAATGGGAGAAATTGCTTCACTTGTTGAACTAAGAGGAAACTTTAAACTTTTCTTGGATAAGGGTATCAGCTAAGCTTATCAATTATAACTAATCAGGCCAGACTGTGCAAGTGTAATGTGGAGTTTAGTCTGGGAAATGTCATTAATACCCCTATTCAAGACATTGTCAGGATCTTATTTTAAAATCTAATTCAAGGGACGACACCTCCTACAGCACAAAGTCCACTGTCACCACACTAGGACAGTGTATGATGGAAGAGCACCACCTACTGGTCTACCAGCACCTCTTACTGCGGCAAACTTTTCAGAGGCTCCCCTCTCAGAACTGCCAGGCCCAGCTGAGCTTGGCCTCTGAGATTGGATGAGGACAGGCTAGGAAGTGGTAACACTCCTGTCAACCTACAACTGTTTCAGCTACAAGTCATGACTGTTGTTCTTTAGAACACTGTGCTAAGTGTTACTGTACCTGCAGTATCAGAACATCTCAGTTTTCTGCTGTCCAGCCTTCCTATCCAGCAAAGCACCAGGGAGACCGGGTGCAGATGGCATTATCACCCATTCTTTTGGACATTGATACACAGTCTTTTGCACCTAGATGCTTTTCTTGTCTAAGAACAAAATGGGATCTCCAGGTACTCTATCAAGCAATCAGTCAGTCCAGTTATCAAGTGTTACTGTATAGCATGTATTTCCACTGTCTCCACACATGGTACTGATTTCTGCACATTAACCTCTGTACTTTTTTAAACAAACCCTAGTACAGATGAGTCATTGTTGAATATCATTTGTGCCATTAATTTTCTAAACGGGTTTAAGTTAATCACAACCAATTAAAATGATATAGTAGTACAATTTCCTAACTCTCAAAAACATATTGTGCACTAAGAAATCTGGCTCTTATAAACTTACCATTACATTTTGCCTATTGGAAGGGGCTATTGAGTTGTTGAGTTGAATTTAGAGACAATGGTCAGTATTTGCAATTCTAGGGAGCTTTAAAGCAACAAAGAAACTGAGGTGTTTGCTGAATGGCAGGCAGTCTGAGACACATTGATCAAAGGAAGTTATGATACTGTTTCAAATAGAGGGGTACAAAAATAGATAATTCAGCCAAAGTTGCGCGAGAGAATAAAGATCTCATGTGCCTCTAATTATACCAACCAATCCGGTACATTCTTGGTGTATCTTTACAATTTGGAGGTTATGATTATTTATTTTAATTACTGATAAACCTGCAAAAAAAATCTTTTTTTGTAACCCCCTATTTGTAACAGTGTCATATGCAGCCACTGTAGGAAGCAATAACAAGCTGTATATTTGCAGTGCAAGCTTTGGAGTTTACAAATGCTGTGTTGTGGGATTCTGTCCCATTCCTCTCATTGATCCTGGACAAGCATGTGCCTGTTCACTGCTGTCTGAGCCCTAGATGTCATTTGAGCTCATTCCACACATGTTCAATAGGCACGTTTGGCAAGCAGGGCATCCGCGCCACAACTCTCACAGTCTCATCTTGCAAGAAAGATGGTGTATACACAAACAGCATGAGGGTGTACATTGTCCAGCCGGAATATTGTCATGTAACATAACATAACTTTACTGGCCATATACAATTTCTTGCATTAGGAATTAATCTTTTCGCATACCCCAGCTTGCTCTCCATGAGACAGAGCGCACGGTCAGCCATTGTACAGCACCCCTGGAGCAGTTGGGGTTAAGGGCCTTGCTCGGGGGCCCAGCAGAGTAGGATTCCTCGGCTGGCTGTGGGATTTGAGCCAGCAACTTTCCAGCCACAGGTACAGATCCTTAACAGATAACATAACATCACTTTATTAGCACTATACAGTTTCTTGCATTAGGAATTTGTCTTTTCACATACCCCAGCTTGCTCTTCATGAGACGCAGACACACAGACAGGGAGAGAAGCTTGGGGTCAGAGCACAGGGTCAGCCATTGTACAGCACCCCTGGAGCAGTGGGGGGGTTAAGGGTCTTGTTCAGGGGCCCAACAGAGTAGGATTCCTCTGCCGGCTGTGGGATTTGAACTGGCAACCTTCCAGGCACAGGCGCAGATCCTTAGCCACAGAGCCACCACTCTACCCAGGTTTGAACTGTCATTCAGTTTGAACTTGCAGGAAGGGGAGCAAAGGAGGTCCGAAGGTCGATGTAGCTCAAGACAGTCAGTTACCATAAATCACTAAGTGAAGTTCTGTGGCGGGTAGACATTCCTGGTCAGACCATCACACTTGGACCTTCGTGTTGATCTGAATAAGGTGCCATCACTGGTGGTCTTCCAAATCGTGGCGCTGTGTTTCATTGCAAATCTGTCCAGGTTAAACTCTTCTGGCCGTCAGTTCCCCTGATGACGTGCTATACGGTAATGGCACAAAGCATTGATTGCAGTATAGTGTTCTCTTGATAACTGGGGTATATTGTTTCTTTTCTGTGTTTATTTTTCTTCTTGATTCTTATCAGGCTTGTCATTCCACAGGTTAAATCACCTCCTAACCAGCAACCAGCTAATTCTAACTTTTCTAAAAACGTGCACACAAAAATAGCAATACATTTCTTTTGATACTCAGTTTCTAAAAATACCATTAGAATCTGGAGTGACAAAGCACTCTTTTCCCCAATTTTTGTGAACCTATTGTAATGTTACTTTGACTGTTTGCATTGATATTATTCATCACAAAATTCTCAGTTTCTTTTTAAAGGTTTTTCCATTAAAGAACACCCACAACTGTTAGTCACTACAACACTGTATACATACAGAAAAGATTGTATATACAGTTCAAATAAACAATGCCTTCTTGATGAACTCGTTTGTTTACATGTTAATGGAAGCTTTACGGCTGAATGTTTTAGCTAAAGAATAAGCATGAAATGTCTCATCACAAAAAAGTTTCCTTACTGCAAACACACAGTCCGAGTCTGAATAAGTGCAAAACTAAGGGCCCATGCCCTGAATAGAAGAGAATAATATATGAGAATTTATTGGAAAAAGTTAGGTAAACCATAATACCAGTTATTATATGTAGAAAATAACTCACCTCTTTACAACCTATTACATGAGGTGGATAATAAAGGTGTCTAAATGACATTACTTAATTTTGTTGCGGACTCATTCTTTTCAGTTCTAGTGTAGTAAAACTAAACAGGCAGCTTTAAAGCTGGTAGGGCCTGAGTTCCATTTGGAACATCCACTTTTG